AGCACCGCAGCTGCTTCATATCAACCCCTTCGCTTCATACTGTACTCCGCAAATAAAGCCATACGAGCATCAGCATTAGTCGGACATTTGTGGGCGGGCGGTTGGTTATAGTGGGCGTTCCGGTCGGTAAGTTGCAGCTTGATAGGGCGCTATAAGGGCATCTTCCTCGGGAAAGGCGCTCAAATATACCGAATTCGTCCTGCTAGGCGTATTAATCCGACACGCCTTGGATATTTATCGTAGCACTTACCTTTAAACTTCTTCGGATCTCCTGAATCGGTTCATTAGCATGAAAATACCAAGAGCCAGGAAACTATGGAGGTTGTTTTGTCTAGAAAAAAAGCACGGTAAGCGTGAAATGTGGGTTCACGGCTTTAAGTGGGGAAGAGCGCATTGGTAGTGACTAGAATAGGCATGTTAAGATCCAGAGGCTTTTGGGTAAGCTGTCATGGCCGCCCCTATACACTTCATTCTGCTTACTTCTTTTGAGGGGCGACGGCCGCGCTACTAAAGGAGTCTTTCCATTTTGGCACAATCGTAATAGGGTCTTTGTCCACTACGAGATGGGAACATACTTGTACCGAATAGCAACATCCCACAGAAAACATGAGCAATATTCTATGCTATAGTCAGGAGTGCGGGACCACGCCCTCCCAATATGCCGAATAATCGTTGTAAGTTTTTGTGAAGGACAACTGCCATTTTTCGTTTGTTTTTCCACGAATGTTGCGTTGTAGAGCCTGCGGTAATACCTTGTTTTGATGGGCTCTGTCTGGTTTGCAGAAGGGTATTAAAATGTTTTTATCATTGAAGGGAAATGGTATTGAAATGTTTCTATCATTGAATCTCACCTCAAACATAGGTTCTACCGGAAAAAAATTCTAGGTGGCAGAAAAGAACCTTTTCTACGCACTCGATCGAAATACGAGCAAGAAGACACCGAATTTATTGGGAAAATTCGCACCGTGCATAAGAGATACCGAGTCCTGGAACGGGGGGAGATTACCGCGAGAGAAGAGTTATCCTGCCCGCCTGTTCGGAATTAGATACCAAAGGGATGGGAAGGCCGATAACTTGCAGTATAACCCGCAGACTTGCCTCCGCATGAGGTCATATGAGTCTCGCTGCTCTAATAAACAGGATGATGTGCATGGAGAATTCGTTGCGCACAGTGCGCCACGCGCGATGGTGCGGCAAACTACGATTGTCTTGTCCGTCTCGCGTCATCGGAATCGCCCACAATGAATTCAATAGTGAGGACCTGCAGCTCACTCCACTGCCTACTGTACGGCCATTACTTTAACAGAATATCACCCTAACCGCTCACTGCCAAACGAAATGAAGGATTTTCTCTCTAATAGCAATGAGGAAATTGAAAACTGGCTCAGCTATCTCCTTGACTCCTGACTGGGCGATTTTCAGAGAAACCACATCAACAACTCAGTTGGCAGAAAAGAGCAGGTCTTGAGCGATACATAGATGCTTAAAGGGGTTGGCACGATGGTTCCCCACTCGGCCTAAAATGCTAGTAAGGCGCTATGTAGTGGGGAAATAGCGAAAGAACGGAGTCGGGCGAAGAAAAAGCCTCCGTTCTCAGTGACTTGAAAATCGATTTCGGACGAGTTTCCCGTAGCATCTTGCCAATCACCGCTACCGAAGATACGGCTGCATATGTGTACCCATGTATGCATGCAGCATCACGGCCGCTTCATACCAATCCCTTTGCTTCATAATTTGCTTAGCAAATGAATGAATACGAGCGTCAGGAACGGTCGTCCGTTTGTGGGGGGGAAGGGCGTTTGAGACGTGAAGTTGTGGCTTGATAGG